GATCCTGACAGCCCCATACGGAGTGACACAGTACAAGCAACTCTGATTTCAGAGGATGCATGTGAATTGTACTGGTACAGTTCCTGTCTTTCCAACATATCTAGTGCAGATCTAGTAAAACCCCTTCCAGATACAGTGCAAATTAGTTTCTTTTGGACATAATGCAATTTTTTTCAGTTGCATAGTTGAGCAGAAGGAAAAACCCCTTGGGCATAAAGTAGATGCTGCTATTTCTGTTGAAGTTGGCAACTCCTGCTTTTCACTTTGACATTGAGAGGCACTGGGGCAGATGACATTAAGCTTCCTCAAGTGATTTTAAATACTTGGTGGTAATAAAAAACCAAACCCAAACTGCACCCAGCCATACTCTGGAATAGAGTGGGATACAGCCAGGATAAAACCTGTGTAATGGGAAATTAAAGACACTAATAGAACTTTGAAAAACCTCCTCGATGCAGTTACCTGGAGGAATGTATCCCTGCAGGAAGTGCATCCCTGTCCCAAAAGCCTACCCCTTGCTTGATCTTACTGAATCCTGTGCCTGAGGAACATACCTGAACCTGTTGATGCTCTGCTTGTCCAGGATTGATTACTGTGATCCATAACGGTGCAGGAACGGCGGCGCTGGGAATCTGGCTGAGAAGGCAGGGGAAAAAATGTAAACAGCAAGATTACAATGCAGCTACAAACTATTTGCCTAGTTGGCAAGATGCTGTAAAGGCCTAAGTAAAGCTTTGAGGAGGATTAAATCAACTTTAGGAGTAGAAAATATATTTTTCTAACGCTTATTTGGAATAATCACTGGACCAGTTAAAGACATTCTGGAAAAATTGTTCTGTTTCAAAACAGACTTTAGAAATTGTGTACTCTCACAACTGCTGAGCCAAGGATGTTGAATCAAGCAGCTATTTAAAAGCTATCACTGAAATTGTAGCTTTTAAAGCTTAGATAAAAAACAATTTGTTGGATAGGACAAGATATCAGTAGAGTAGGTGCTTATTGTTTGATACTGAAACAGATTGGGCATTGATTAGTGTTAATTCACCAAGCACTCTCTGCAGTAATTAAGGATGATGTGGTGTAATTTGCCATGCTTTACCAAGGATGTGTTGGTTGTGTTAGGCCTGGAGAAAGGATCAGGCAGGAGGAGCTGCTCCTGGAGCTGCTGGTGAGCATCTTCTTGTGTTGTTACACTGTGAGCACGACTGGAGCTCCCTCGAGGTTTCTGCAGGGAAGGGTAACACAGTTATGGCTTCTTCTTACTGCAGCAGCACATTGGCAATCCTCAACCTAGGAATTAAAGCTAATTTTCCACATGAATCATTTTGCAACCTAGTTACGAGGAGGAAAACATTCTGGCATGAATGAGAATTAAGCAGGCAACTGTGGGTGGTGTTGTTAGTCAAAACTGCTGGGACGGTTTTTGTGCATCCATTTGACTTGCTGTCGCAGGGTAACGAATAAATTGGGACTTTTGGGCTTGGCAGTTTGATCAGCAGTGATTACAACTTTAGACTATTCAGTAATAAAATGGAATTGTTTCCTTTACCATTTGCTTCTGGGATCCTGTGGTGCTCCCACGCTCTGCCACGCTGGAGGTGGCAATAGGGGGCAGGGGGTGATTTCGGTTCAGCAGCACTGGGGAGGGAGAGGTCAGCTGCTCCTGTGCAGTCAGACTGAAAGGCACCAGTGAAAAGAGAAAAAAAATACAGTTTATATGTTTGGCATGTGGAAAGAGATAATACTGTCACTTTGTTTGGCCTTCTGGAGTTGACTGTTCTGTAAGAACACCTTAGAAAAGCTTCAAAATATTTTAAAAACACTTTCCTAGTGCTCTCTACATTTAAAAATATATGGTAATAAAGGTGAGATGTTAATATTTGTTAGACTGATTGAAGCCTGAGGAAAGGGAACAGAAGCATAAAATACTGGAAGTAGAAACATCAGTTGTGGAAGGACAACGAATTACTCTCTAAACACTACGTGACAAGAAAATAACAGGCTCAGTGAGTTTATACATAAACTACAAAACTGAAAGGAAACTACATCGATTTACAACACATGGAATACAGAGGTATATCAAAGCCTGCATTATTTCTTGATACCCTGTGGTCCCTGTAAATGTGCAAAGCAAGATGTTTTAGATGTGTCTGAGGGGTTCACTGAGTTCCTTAAGAGCACTTTGGTCAGTCAGATAACCTATTTTAACATCTTTATAGCCCAGTCTGGGCTAGGATAGCAACGTGCAGTTTCCCCTCCAAAAACTGTAGACTTTTAAATTCATCTTGCAAACAGGCTCCAGAAAAAGAAAACCATGTGAAGAAAGAGATGGTGGTGTTGACTTTGCTGGTACTGGGCAGACTGAGGTGCAAAACCACCTCTGTGTGTCTGTGATTCAGTGAATCGCAGCACGGTGAACACCAGCCTCAGCCCCTCAGCTTTCTGGGGGCAGCTGCGCTTTAAGGGGCAGCTCATTTCTTTAACCCAATGTTCTTCCTGCCCATCTGCCTGTTTTTGGTGCCAGCTGGGCTCTCTGCACTGGAGGAGGGGTGGGTGGGACGTACAGCCGTGCCGCGTCCCCAGAGCGCGGGGTCCCGGTGCGGGGCTGGCTGCCCGAGATGGGGTGCAGGGTCCGGGGCGGGGGGTTCCTCCTCCTCGTGGAGCGGGACAGGGAGGATGTGCTGAGCTCTAGAGCACGATTTGGCCACGTTCTGATGGAGAGGATGGAGCTGGAACCCGGCCGTCTGTCATCCAGGTCCCTGACAAAAAAGACCAACAGGGAGATGGTCAGCGTGGCCCCGTTCCCAAAGTACTCACCCATGTGTGGCATTAATCATAAAATACACGGGCAGACACGATGTGTTTCATTTTTAACAGAACTGTATAATCTATAATACCGTTTCACTGTATCCTGACACTTCATTTTTCACAGAGGACAAATAAACACACAAACAAGCAGGGAAATAATTGAGAAGAGCTTTCTCACAATTTATCTCACAAAGGTTTGGGCTGAGTCCCTCTCACTGTGAGAACGCTCTACTTTATTTACAACAGATGATCTGTAACTCTTACAGTGTTTTCTCCACTACAGGCAGGTTCCTTTGGTGTAACTGGATCCCGTGGATCACCATCAAGCCATTCAGATTATGCTGAGAGCCACTACTTGACCCTTGAGAGAGACTGACCTGAAATTTAAAAAAAAAAGTAAGTAAATTGCTGCTTGGCAGAGATACACTTACAGATTTTGTATATAATTTTGGAGAAAAGCCACCAATTTCTTCCATGACAATCCAGATGTATACTCAGTTTTATATTATTTCTCCATCTAAGAGAAAAATCTTAGCAGTCCTTTTTTTTTTTTTTTGCAAATGGTAGTGGTTAGACAATGTATCCTAACACTTCATATTTTCCAACTGAGCAGCTCATTTGCATGACAGGATCTTCCAACAATTACTATAATCTGAAGTTTTACAAAACTAATTTTGAGTGCGTGTTCACATTTTGTATCTGCAAATACAGACTGATCTGGAAAAACATCAAATTCCACCCACCAAAACAACAGAAAACAGAAAACAGCAGAGCTTTAATCCCTCCGGGATACATACTTGAGGTGTTTTTCTTCTCTTTTTGCTTTTGCGGCCACATCTGGGTTTTGGGCACTACACACACAGTAAGGGAACACGAGGAACAGGCAGGGGTAGAAATAAAGGAGAGAGAAATAAGGACAGAGTTGAATTAAAACGGAATAAACAGGTAACACTTTGGTGCTCACCACTCCAGGAGCAGATCATCCAAAGCAGATTATGCAGATAAAATCAGTGTCTGAGAAAAAAAGCTGGTTTAGAGCTGCACTGGGATTTGTCCCCTATTGCCTGATGAAAGATGTTGGTGAGAACAGGATCCCACACACACAGTCCTCAATCTCATTGAGGTCAAATATTATTAAAGTATAGAAAAAACTACATCATTATTCAACATGGTTGTCCTATACATATATAAAACACTAAGTTTTAAAGAGAGAAGTAGGAATTAAAACTTGCAACTGAGTAGTAAAAGGACTTAAGTGTTAGAAAGGACAGTCAGCATTCCCACAAAGGCCAAACTCATTCTGTACCGAAACATAACCCAGGGACTGACATCCTGCAGTGTGTTTGCTGAAGTAACACTATTGATTCATCCCTACACAAAGCAGGGGCTAAAAATACTTACCAGATTTGAGGTCACCGAGGGCATTTTCGTGTGTGGCACACGAGGTAACAAGGCTGGCAGAGGATCAAGCTGCAAAGGGCTTCTGGCACCTGCCCTGAGTGTTTCCACTGTTATGATATTTTTCTCATCATCTGTGCAAAGCAAGAGAGAGTTCCTGTCAATTCGGGCTGTTGGCACTGCTAGTCGTGGACAGTGCTATGAATCCAAATGTTTAGAGAGAGAGAGAGTCCTCTTGAATGGTAAGTTCTGCTAAATCTTTTGAAGGCATATCTCACACTGTCAACAACGTTACCTTCTTATTCCCACTGCAGAGATCATCCCCCAGTACATCTCTCCCCCACCGCCTCCTTGCAAAATCCACTCCCTGAAACCCCCTTTTCAGCCTTCACTCGAGCTGTGATCCTCACCAGAGGCTGACCCTTCCCAGTGCCTGCAGATCAGCTCCTCCATGCAGCCCAGGACTTCACTCCACACATCATCAAACACGAAGGTGAGCACAGAATCCTTGGTGCAGGAATATGGGGAGACGGGAGGAAAGCCCAGTTTCCGTCTGCCAGAGGACAGGCCCCTTTTCCTCTCGTGCAGCTCCTCCTCCCTGTGAAAATGTAAGCACTGCCTGTACCACAAACACATTGGCTTTGCCTCCTGCATTTATTTTTAGTTCTTCCACCAACCCGAATAAGAAATGCCTGAGACAACCACCTATTGCTGCACACCCTGGTTTCCCTGTTCAGAATGACTCTCAAATGATACTTCACAGATAATGAATTATTTACTGATAAGATCAAAGTCCTATTTAAAAATGAGTATTAATAGTTGCAGTGATGTTTCTTCATCACATTGTTAAGCTCCATATCTAATGCCACTACAGAATGCTGAAGACAAGAGATGATATTATTTCCTGCAGCAATGTCTCTCTGGCCTGGTCAAAGCAAGACAAGTAACAATTTAAATTTAATGGTCCATGCAGCTAAGTGGCTTTAATTATTAAAACCAATTAAGTAGTTAGGAACTGACAGTATACCCTCCAGAGTCCTTACCCAGGCCATATGTTCACATTGTTGGGTGGGATAAAGTAAAGGGACAAAAAAATAAAAAAGAGTGGTAGTTGTTTCTTGGAGAGCATCAAATCCACTCTTAGTTCTTAAATTACCACTGAAAAATCTGGAAAAGGTACAATTCCACCCAAAATAACAGTACAAAACCAAAGCAGCATAACAAACAACAATGAATTTGACTCAATATAAAAAATAAATGGTGTTTAAACAAGTTTTATGAAATATGCAAGCTCTTAGTTACGGTGGAACGAACTATTCAAACCAGGCACAAAAATGGATGGTATGAAAGATGACAAAAAATTTCAGAAAAAATAATAAACTGTCCTAGGAAAAGAGTAGGGAGAATTCTCAGTTCCCTGGCAACTTCAGGCCTTTGAAAGTTCTCTAGGGAAAAAGTATTAAAAAAAAATAAACTCATCAAATACAGCAGGAACCCCAGGACACTGGTACTAGTTGCTGTCTTAATATTCAATACCTACACATCTCTGCAGTCAAATGCCAAATATTCCTCCACTATGCCTTCGGAGAGAATTATTTCCTCTTCCCCTTCGTCTCTCTCTGAGGAACACAAGGTCGGAGACTTGGAAGGGTCAGCCTTTTTGTGAACAGGAGTAACAAAAAGAGGGACCTTCTTGCCAAAAACACTAAATCTGAACAGGTGACAGTTGTCAGAAAGCAGAAATAAAAATAAGTTATTATTCCACTTCAAATAACCGAGAGACAGCATGGTACTTAAGGCCAAAGGAGACCAACAAATTATTCATTACAGTAAAAACTGTTGCTTTGGATATTTTTTAATTCTTGCTAAGGAACTTGAAACTTCAGGGAAAAAAAATCAGAAAGCATTTTGAAACATTAAATCATAATAGTACTAACACAGTGCTTTGTATTTTTTAACAGATGATTAGCAATAAAACCAGCTACAAAACATACACATCCTTAAGAAGTCAGCAGCAGCAAAGATATTTCTATTTACTGACCAGCTCAAGGTAGTCAGCAACGAGCACGGCTACGTAGTCTTGCTGCTCTGAATGTACTATTTTCAGTTAAAAAGGAAAATAAAGTGTGCTGTGTTCAAAACTCAGCCTGACAGGAAAGAGTCAGGGCTGCAGCAGAGGACAAAGCTGCTTCCCACTGCCTTGTTCCCTGCAGAGAACTGTGACCTTCCCACCTCGGTCCAGCCCGGGCTCAACACAGGTACTTACTCATCAGCATCCTGCTCTGGAGGTGAACTTACACCTGAGGGAGCCCAACTGCCCGCAGGGGAACTGGAGAACCATCCATACCCTTCATCCGTGGGCACCACCACCTGCCTCCCCACAACCCTGCCGGGGCACAAGCAAAGGGGACACACATCAGGAGGTGCTGGAAGGGAGATTACTGAAGTGTGTCAGAGCAGCAGCACACCCTAAGAGTTCTTCTGGGGAGCTGTGCAGTTTTCCTGGTTGTTGGTTCAGTTGTTTTCCCTGGTACAGGTTGCTTTGAGCCAGGTAAATACATCAAAAAAACTTGGCCTGTTTCTTTTTTAATGCTCTGCTAACTGTAAAACTTATGAATATGGACAAAACTGTTTCAAGTGCACGTAATGAAGATTTAAAATGTAAGTTTTCAGACAGCCATAAGGACTGCTGAACTAGGGGAGGAGGGTTTTTACATGATTTTAAGCTTATAGCTCCACCACAAGAAAATTTGCTGTGCTTAACAGAGCAAAACACGATTTTCTAAGAGAACTCTGCTATGTTCAGGCCAAATCAGCTGCAAATAGCCATAAACCTCTGTCAGGGAACCAAATGTGAGGTAACAGACTGTTTATTTTAATGACCAGAGTGATCTTTTTATTTCTCTCTACTCCATAAGTGCATAAACCCACCCTGCTACAAATGTTTTAAAAGCAACTGTGTCCATCCCTACCCTTTTTGTGAGGGGATTGGCATTAGTGTGTCCATAAAATACCTGAGATGAGGAAAGCTGGATGTCCACTGCTGGCATTCCTCCCACAGTCCCTCCACATGCACATTTTCCTTCTGCTCATAGAGAAGCTCATCAATTTGTCTGAACATCTCCTGAACTTGTTGTGTGGCAGCTTTATCAAATTCCTAGAAAGGGAAGTTATCCAGTAAATACCTAGTGAACAGTATTTGCATCGCAGGGTGGGGTGTTAATTGATTTTTCTTTAATATAATTGAAAAAGACAACTATTTGTTTAAAGCTTAACAGGACTGCATAGAAGGATTTTAACTTTAAGTCATTTCCTTCCAGAGATGATAATTTCCCCCCTGCTGCTAAGACTGAAGGTGGCCACATAAAAAGCTTACATTGACATGGCAGATAAACTAGTAAAACATTTTGAAATATCTGTGTTATTACATTAAGTTACAAGATATAGGAATTTACATAAATCAGAACAGGAAGGATAAAATCCAGTGATATTTTAATGCAATGGAAAATCTGTGGCTTGCAACAGACAGACAACAACAAAACAAAAGGCAATGCAGACTGGTGGGAAACAGTGAAAGTGAGGGATGGTCAGGACCTTTGTTACATGTGCTCATGTAGCCAGAAAATGAGGTCAGTTCTGGGGTCATTTAAATCTAAACAGCCCCATCTCACAAGAAAGCAACAGCACATTGGGCTTTGGTAGAACAAAACAACCATTTCTAAATTAAAATTACGTTTCTCACAGTATTGTGAGAAGCAAGTATGCAGAAGTTTGATAAACTCACACCAAGTACCTGAAAATCACCCAGTCATGTTTGGGATTCCACACTAACAGCATTTGTAGATACACTTATGCAATAAATTATTTGCTTTTCCAAAATTTTAGATGGAAGTACACCATATTAATTGAATAATACGAGCCTAATGTGTTCTGAACTGGGAGAAAGAAAAAAATATGCTCTTTTTATAATCACTATCATGATTAACAGATCCAATCCTCATTTTTATCCTGAAATGTCTTTGCCATGGTATTTTGAACAGTTTTCTCCTCACTGTGGCAGGTTTGGCTTGGATGATATGTTCTACTCACATCATAGCCCCAAGAGAAGACTGAGCTGTCCTCAGTGGAGGTGTCAGCACAGCTCTCACTGGCAGTCCCTGGATTCCCATGATCAGCTGATTCCCTCCGGATTTCTGACTCCCTGAAACCCACAAAAAAAACCCAGTGGGCAAAAAACAAACAATGAGAAATGCAGTGTGTCAGCAAACAAAGCCTGGCTGTATCAGAACAGCTCTGGGAGAGATGTGCCCACAGTACCTGGAGACGTGGCCGTGGTTTTCAGCCCTGGCTGTGGCTGAGCACACCTGAACTCCTGGCTCTGGCAGGGGGTGATGCCTCAGGGCATGTTTTGGGAGTCCTTGTCTGAAAATAAAGCAGCAGAACTTGACAAGTTACTCACAAGAACAAATGTTTGCAGAGTTCCCACGAAGTTTTACAGGTTTTTCTTTTCTGCTTTTCAAGGAATGCGCATGCATCTGTTGTTATTAGAAGGCTAATTCTTGTTACTCTGGCTTTAGTTAAGGACCAGAGAAAATGGCCTCAAGTCGCACCAGGGGAGGTTCAGGTTGGATATTAGGAAAAGTTTCTTCGTGGAGAGGGTGGTCAGGCATTGGTACAGGCCTTGGTGGAGTCACTGTCCCTAGACACCTTTAAAAGGATGTGGGTGTGGCACTTGAGAGCACGGTTTAGTGATGAACAAGGTGGTGCTGGGTTAATGGTTGGACTTGATCTTAGAGGGCTTTTCCAGCCTTAATGATTCTGTGATTCTATGAAACATGCACTGGCAAGTTGGGAGCAATAATTTTTGGTAGTTTTTCGTTCTGTCAAACTTCAGATGTCAAGGAGAGGGAGACAAGAAAAGTAGCATTAATTGGAAACAACAAGTACCAATGCAGGGCAGAAGCCCTGTCTCAAACAGCAGCTGAATGAGGCCTAAATAGAGAACTCTCTCCTGTCATTTCTCTGCTGGCCAGAAATGGCAGAATTAAACATAAAAAGGCTGTAGATAAGTCACTAACTTCCAAAATGGATATATTTGTTCAATACAAATTAAATACAATTAAATACACGTTTGTTTAATACAAATACATAAAAAAAAAAAGGCCAGCATATCAATTGGGTCAGAACTGACCCAAAATTATTGTTACCGAAGGTTTACATTTAAGGTATCAGAACTGTCGTTACAGTACTATATTTAAGAATAGTTATATATTATAAGCAGGGTCTTCACTTTGAAACGTCCTCCTTTAAACTAAAAACGTTGTGAATTGCGCTGCAGCTCCCTGAGCGCAGAGACAATGTCGCTGTCCCCGGAGGCGAATTAAATTAAATCAAACAGGACAAAAGCAACCAAGTCAGTCAGAACCGACGCTGCTCTTGGGCCAGGGACACCAGGAAGGGCAGAGCAGGGATTTAACCGCGCTGTGTCCCGGGGGTACCGCGGGGGGACACACGCGGCGGCCGGGCCCTCGCGGGACCCTGTCTGCGGCGGGGCCGGGATGGGGCCGGGGCCGGGGCCGGGGCCGGGGCCGGGGCCGGGGCCGGGGACGGGATGGCGATGGGGGCCGGGGGAGCGGGGCCACTCACGGTTGCACCGGTTTGCGCGCGTATCGCGATATCATCCTCAGCGCCACCGCCCCGCCGCCATCGCGCCGCTCCTCCCGCGGGGGCGGAGCGCGGCCGTGCCGCGATGGAGCCGCTCGGGGGATCTGCTGCGGTGGGGCCGCTGGGCCGGCCTGCGCTGCCCGAGGACGCGGTGCGGTACCGCCTGTTCGCGCCGGGCCCCGGCGGGCAGGCGCTGCTGCGGCGCTGCGCTGAGGCGGCCCTGGTGCGGCTCGCCCCGCTCCTGGCCGCCTACGTGTGGCACCGGCAGCCGTTCCGCCTGCGCTACGAGCCGGCCAGGGGTGAGCCCGGGAGCGGGACCGGGGGGAGCGTGCGAGGGGGAGCCGGTGTGTGAGGAGGGACCCCGTGTGTGAGGGGGGAGCCGGTGTGTGAGGGGGGAGCCGGTGTGTGAGGGGGACCCCGTGTGTGAGGGGGAGCCGGTGTGTGAGGGGGACCCAGTGTGTGAGGGGGGAGCGTGCGAGGGGGAGCCGGTGTGTGAGGAGGGACCCCGTGTGTGAGGGGGGACCCCGTGTGTGAGGGGGAGCCGGTGTGTGAGGGGGACCCAGTGTGTGAGGGGGAGCCGGTGTGTGAGGGGCGACACGATGTGTGA